GAAATCAAGACCAGTGAGTTTGACATTAGCGAAGGGCAAGTTGTTGGAAGGTATCCTGAGGGACAGGATTTACATGTATTTGGAAAGGCAAGGAGTGATTAGTGATAGTCAATATGGCTTTGTGCCTGGGAAATCGTGTCTCACTAACTTGATTGAGTTTTTTGAGGAAGTGATGAAGAGGATTGATGAAGGCAGAGCGGTGAACATTGTCTATATAGACTTCAGTAAGGTGTTGGATAAGGTTCTGCATGGTACACTGATTAACAAGGCTGGATCACATGGTATGCAGGGAGAACTAGCCATTTGGATACAAAATTGCCTCGAAGGTAGGAGACAGAAGGTGATGGTGGAGGGTTGATTTTGAAACTGGAGGCCTGTGGCTAGCGGTGTGCACCGAGGCTTGGTGCTGGGTTTACTGCTTTTCATCATTTATAGAAATGATTTGGATGTGAATATAGGAGGTATGGCAGATGACACCAAAATTGGTGGTGCAATTGTCAACCAAGAAGGTTACTTCAGAGTACAACAGGACCTTGGTCAGATGGGCTGAGGAGTGGCAGATGGAGTTTAATCTAGATAAATGTGAGGTGCTTTATGTTGGTATGGCAAATCAAGGCAGGACTTATACACTTACTGGTAAGGTCCTGGGGAGTTTTGCTGAACAAAGTTGGACTGCAGGTTCATATTTCCTTGAAAGTGGAGTTCTAGGTAGACAGAATAATGAAGAAGGCGTTCAGTATGTTTGCCATTATTGGTCAGTGCTTTGAGTATAGGGATTAGGAGGTCATACTGTGGCTGTACAAGACATTGGTTAGGCCACTTTTGGAATACTGTGCTCACTTCTGGTCTCCCTGCAATAGGAAAGATGTTTTGAACCTTGAAATGGTTCAGAAAAGATTTGCAAGGATGTTGCCAAGGTTGGAGAGTTTGAGCTATAGGCAGAGGCTGGGGCTATTTTCCCTGGAGCGTTGGAGGCTGAGGGCTGACCTTAGAAGTTAAATCATGAGAGGCATGGATAGAGTGAATAGTCAAGGTCTTTTCCCCAGGGTAGGGAAGTTCAAAACTAGAGGGCATAGTTTTAAGGTGAGAGGGGAAAGATTTAAAAGGGATCTAAGGGGCAATTTTTTTACACAGATGGTGGTATGTGTATGGAACAAGCTGTGAAAAGAAGTGGTGGAGGCTGGTACAAATACAACATTTAAAAGACATCTGAATGGGTATATGAATAGGAAGGGTCGAGAGGTATATGGGCCAAATGCTGGTAAATGGGACTAGATTAATTTAGGATGTCTGGTCAGCATGGACGAGTTGGACTGAATGGTCTTTTTCTGTGCTGTACAGCTCTATGACTCTGTGAGAGGGTTAGACATAGTGATTGGGACAGTGACTGTTCCTTTTGGTCTAGAACCAGAGGATTTGATGAGCTGAAGGACCTCTTCTGTACTCCATAACTCGTACGACATCAAATTTAATTTGATTGGCAAAAGAACCAAAGGCAATATGAGGGAAAGCATTTTAATGTGAGTTTACGATCTTGAACACACTGCCTGAAAGGAGTGGCGAATTTCGAAAGTGAGCTAGATAAGTACTTGAAGGAAAAGATTTGCCGGGTGAGAGACATGGAATGTGGAGTGGGACTAACTGGATTGCTATTAACAAGAGCTGGTATAGAGTGGACTGCTGAGTGCTTTCCTTATATCCTTCGTAATAATTTTCTCTTATTTTATTCCATGATTCAATTATAGAAGCGCGTCAAACTGACTGGAATCTATGTAGAAAGTTAATGTAAAGTATTTAGCATCAGACACTGGAAAATAATGTAACAGAGTCACTGCATGCAAACAAAGTAATGTTTTTGTGTTAGATTGCAACAATTTACTGTTCTCATTCTAAACTGGTAACTAGATGAATTTCTGTTTGTGGTATGCGTTTGTAATATCATAGTTCTTTGCATCTTTCATGAAATAATTTTGTTCAATAATTCAAATTTAAACTGAGTAGTGCTGTGATGCTTCTATTATTCACTGTAGGAAGAGATTATGGAGTCATAGTATAGTTTCAGTTACTTAAAGGAATTAACAAAAATATTGGCTTTCTTCCATTTGTTGGGCCATTTAAATGCTTACCAAAAGGACAAGGTAATGATATTCTTGAAAGTATTAGCTGTTAGCTATTGCCCATGAGAGTGACTTGTAGAGGTAGAAGGACTTGTAGGATTTGAAGCTCAGCTCTGGGCCTAACAGAAAACTGAGGCTGAACGTGATTTAATTAAGCTTGAAGAGAAGGGTGGAATCAAAAACGAAGGATCTTTGGAGAAAAGTAAGATGTCTTTGGTTTACCATGTGTTTTGCTGAAGAAGTTTCACATAATGTAGGGCAATCAAACAAGAGATGGTAATGAAAAGTAGTAGGAGATTAAAATTGAATATTATTAACATACATATGTAATTAATCCTCTTCATAAATAATATCTTAAAAGGGCAGCATTCACATGAAGATTGGGAAAGCTCAGATCTTTATTGTCAGCTGTTGTTTGCAATGGTAGGCAAATGTTCAAGTTAGGAATTAGAGTTATAGAGATGTACAGCACAGAAACAGCCCCTTCGGTCCAACTTGTCCATGCTGATCAGATATCCTAAACAAATCTAGTTCCATTTGCCAGCAATTGGCCCACATCCCTCTAAACCATTCTCATTCATATACCCATCCAAATATCTTTTAAATGGTGTAATTGTACCAGCCTCCACTGCTTCCTCTGGCAGCTCATTCCATATACGCACCTCCCGCTGTGTGAAAAAGTTGCCCCTCAGGTCCCTTCTAAATCCTTGCCTGCTCATCTTAAATCTATGCCCTCTAGTTTTGGACTCCCCCACCCTGGGAAAAAGAACTTGGCTATTTACCCTATCCATGCCCTTCATGATTTTATAAATCTCTATAAGTTCACCCCCTCAGACTCCAGGGAAAATAGCCCTAGAGTATTCAACCTCTCCCTATAGCTCAAACCTTCTAACACCAGCAACATCCTTGTAAATCTTTTTTGAATGCTTTTAAGTTTCACAACATCCTTCCTATAGCAGGGAGACCAGAATTGAATGCAGTGTTCCAAAAGTGGCCTAACCAATTAATATTGCCAATATTAGCAAATGAATTCTTGCTGTATTGGTATAAGATTTCCTCATCCTTCACTATAATGTAAGCATCAACACCTTCATTTTAAACTATTTATAGCCTCTGCAAGACATATTGTATAAACATGTTAAATGCCTATCTCCTAATATCACCAACATTAGCTTCTAGGCTTCAATGTTTAAACAAACCAAAACCCTTGCCAACTGAAGAATGAGCAAATGTATTTTATTCTTTACACCGGGAGTTTTTGACTGATGAGATAGAAGATATGGACTTAATGCAGTAGTGCTCACAATAACTGCAGCCAGTCACTAAACATAAAGGAAATTATTCAAGCCCTTTATTAGTCTACTTATGCCTTTGTATTGATGGAAAGCTAACAATGAATACTGGAAATTCTTCTACAAAAAATTAAAGCTGTTGACCAATTTATTTGACAATTGTATGTTTAAACTTAATTGTACAACTTAAGATAGTAAACCTAAATTGAGGCACATGACAATTAGGAGCATCGCATTGCACCAACTGGAACTTCAGTAACTGACAGAAAACAATGTACTATATCTTGCATGAAATTGTGCTCATCGTGTTAGGTAAAATTAACAGAAAAATAATAAAAGAAACTTTTCAAATGAATTAGTTGGCATGATTGCTGTATCTTTTCATTACTGCACACCATCTTTTTAGAACCCCTCACCCTATCTTGTCTTATCTCCTAAGTGTGCGGAGCACTCAGTGACAAAAATGTCTATTATACACGCCGTTTCCACTAAGATTGAAACAATTTGATCAGCTGCCTGTGCAACTTCCCTTCTTGCCCCAAGTTCACCAGGCCCAGCTTTTTCTAAAGCTCACCCCACCCTAACCCTAAACAGGTATAATTTTCTTTTTTTTAAACTATCACCCAAAATGTCCTCTCAAAGCTCATTTTGTCCAAGAGTCCCACTCTTGTCCCTATTGCCACTAAACTACTGTCCACCCAACTTCCAATTCTGGTTCCATGTTAACACTTATTATCAACAATTCTCTTTCAGATATTGTCCTTCACACTTCAAATCTGCTGTCATCATCTCTCTCCTCAAAGCCAGTGCTTGACCCCACTATCCTTGTCAGTTACTGCTCCATCATCAACTTCTCTCTTAAGTTTTTGAACTTGTTGTCACCTCCTAATTCTTTCTACATCTTTATCAAAAGTCTATGTTTGATTCCTTCCCATTAGACTTCCACTCCTGCCACAGCCACGAAGACCAATGACATCCTATGTGACTGCGACAAAGATACACTATTGTTCTTTGTCCTTCCCCACCTGTCTGCAGCTTTTGATATTATTCACCTCACCATCCTTCTCCGAGGCTTCTCCACTGGGCTGGCCAGCTGGGTGAGATTCGTTTTGCTTGGTTTCCTTTCTTATCAATCCAATCATATCAAGATTTTAACCCACATTGGCTCCCCTTCCCATTCCTAACTTGTCCCCCTTCCATTTATCATCTACACGTTGCCCCTCAGTGGCATCATCCACAAGTATTGCATTAGTTTTCACATGTATGCCGACAACACACAGCTTCACCTCAAGAGGCTGCTTATCTAATGAGCAGAATTTCATCCTATTAATTGCCAAGAAGACTGAAGCTGTTGTCTTTGGTGTCCACAACAAACACTTTTTTTTCTGGCTACTGACTTTATCCCTCTTCCCAGCAACTGCCTGTGTTGTTTAGAACCTTAGTGTTATACTTGCCGTGAGATGAGCACAGGGCCACGTATTCTTGCCATCACTGTTCCACCCTGCTTCAGTCATCTGCTGCTACAACCCTAAAATGTGCCTCAAGACCTGACTATGTGAACAGCGTCCTAAATTCAACCTTCTGTAAACTTGAGGCTATCCAAGTCCCTGCTGCCCATATCCTTTTCTGTCCACCATCATCGCTTATGCACTGATCTACACTGATTCCACATCTCCTGAAAGATCTGTGCACCTCTAATTCTAGCCTATTGAACATCCACAATTTTTAATTACTCCACCATTGTTGTCTGTGCCTTCAGCTGCCTGGGCCCTAGATTTGGAGCTCCCTACTTAATCTCTCTACCTTGCTTTCCTCCTTAAAGATGCTCCTTACAAACATGGTCTTTGACCAAGTTAACCTCGTTGTTCAATGTTGGATTTAAATTCATCATGCTCTGTGAAGCATTTTGGTATGCTTTGTTGTATTGAAGGTGCTATAAAATATATGCATATAAGTTGTGAAATATCCAAGAGTGATATCAAGCAAAGTAACATTTGTGTTTGGATGTATTTCCTGAAAAATTCCTTTGCAGCAACATTCACAAAATGCCACAGCATTCTAACTGGAAACAGCAGAGTCAAATAGTTAGTTAAATAATTCAATTATTTACCTCCCTACTATTCTTCCAGAGAAGAATAAAGGAAATAGAGACAGAAATTCAGAAGGAATGAGAAAAAGCATGTTGGAGTCAAAGAGCGAGACAGAAAGATTGTAAACAACAAAATAACATGAGGGGTGCAGAAAATGTTTGTGATCAGACTGAAATGTTGCAGAAGGGGAAACATTATTTAAACAAAAATAACTTGTCGAGATGAGCAACGTGCCAGGAGATCCATTAGTGCCTCTATAAAGAGCTATAAAGCACAATGTTCCAAACACCAGAGAGTCAGTCTGTACAAGAAATAAAACATGTGATTGTTAGTACAGTCAGTGAATCTGATTTCAGGCTGCTTCATTATTTGGATGGAGAAATGAAGAAGAGAAGCAAATTGTGTTAATGAATGTAAGATTTTATCAAAGTATAAGGTTATCTTCTTGCTTGATTAATGTCACTTATTAACACTCTTGTATACCTCTCAATAGCATGCTGGACATATACATTTGTAGTAGACATGAAATGCTCCTTCAATGTAACATAAACATTATCTATAAAAATGACACTGTTTGGATATGGTAGAAAATTAATGTAAAAGCATCGAGTAGGACTGCTGTATAATTTGTAAGTATTGCAGGAGGGGATAAAATGCATTGATTTGAGAATTGAAATTTTATTTTACATATTCTATATGATGTATTAGTACAATGTGCTTTCTGTCTAACTATTAGTTTTTAAAAAAAATTTGTTTTAGAACTGGATTTACTGGTAGGTGCAGAATAATGTTAAATTCATGAACTGTTAGATTAGTGGCTTATTGGAAGCATTCACAACCATTTCCCAAAATGCAATACATTTTGGATTATTTAATATTGCTAATGTAAGAGAGGTTACGTTACGTCAATTGTTATTGCAAAGTCATGTAACATTTATTGCAATTAGTGTTTATCATATTTTCTCTCTAATTATTCATTGCACTGTAATTTTATTTTCATATTGCAGATTCATTTGAAAGCATCTTTTGAAAACTTGTCGTCAGTACTTCTGAGTCCTGCTTTTCGTAGAGATGGCATACATGGTCATTGAGGAGCAAACAGATTCAATCCTTCATCTTAAAAGATCTCCTGGTATTAGGTCCTGGTCTGTGTTAGTTGGTAAGTTTTAACAGTACAGGACCTTCGGCCCACAATGTTGTGCTGACCTATTATCCTCCTAAGATCAAACTACCCTGCATACCCTACATTTTACTATCCACCATGTGCCTACCCAAGAGTCGCTTAAAAGTCTCTAAATTATCTGACTCCACTACCACTGCTGGCAGCACATTCCTCACGCCCACCACTCTCTGTGTAAAGAACCTACCTCAGACATCTCCCCTATACCTTCCTCCAATCACCTTAAAATTATGCCCCCTCATAATAGTCATTTCCGCCCTGGGAAAATGTCTCTGACTATCCACTCTATCTATGCCTCCCATCATCTGGTATATTTCTATCAAGTCACCTCTCATCCTTCTTCGTTCCAATGAATAAAGCCCTAGCTCCCTCAACCTTTCCTCAAAAGACCTGCCCTCCAGTCCAAGCAGCATCCTGGTAAATCTCCTCTGCACCCTCTCTAAAGCTTCCACATCTTTCCTACAATGGGATGACCAGAACTGAACACAATATTCCAAGTGTGGTCTAACCAGAGTTTAATATAGCTGCAGCGTAACTTTGAGGCTTTTAAACTCAATTTCCCTGCCAATGAAAGCCAACACACCGTATGCCTTCTTTACAACCCTATCAACTTAGGTAGCAACTTTGAGGGATCTTTGGACGTGGACCCCAAGATCCCTCTGTTCCTCCACACTGCCGAGAATCCTGCCATTAACCCTGTATTCTGCATTCAAATTCGACCTTCCAAAATGATTCACTTCATACTTTTCTGGGTTGAATTCCATCTACCACTTCTTTGCCCAGCTCTGCATCCTGTCAATGTCCTGTTGCAACCTACAACAGCCCTCTATACTGTCTACAACTCCACCAACCTTCGAGTCATCGGCAAACTTACCAATCCACCCTTCCACTTCCTCATCCAAGTCATTTATAAAGATCACAAAGAGCAGAGGTCCCAGAACAGATCCCTGCGGAACACCACTGGTCACCGAGCTCCGGGCTGAATACTTTCCATCTACTATCACCCTCTGTTTCTATTGGACAGCCAGTTTTGTATCCAGACAGCCAAATTTTCCTTAATCCCATGCCTCCTTACATTTTGAATGAGCCTACCATGTGGAACCTTATGAAATGCCTTGCTAAAATCTATATACACCACATCCACTGCTCTACCTTCATCGATGTGTTTTGTCACATCCTCAAATAATTCAATAAGGCTTGAGAGGCATGACCTGCCCCTCACAAAGCCATGCTGACTATTTCTAATCAAACTGTGCTTTTTCAAATAATCATAAATACTATCTCTCAGAATCGTCTCCTTCAACCCAGAAAAGTATGAAGTGATTCATTTTGGAAGGTCGAATTTGAATGCAGAATACAGGGTTAATGGCAGGATTCTCGGCAGTGTGGAGGAACAGAGGGATCTTGGGGTCCACGTTCATAGATCCCTCTTTGAATTAATTGTAGACACACTCATTTCTGCTTTATAAGTGTATGGGCTTAAGATCCACAACATGAATCAGTGCTGTGTTGTTGGTTTGTGTTGACGACAATACATTTCAACCAGAATCTGATTTTCACCCTCTGGTGGTTTAGGTGAACATTAAGGGTTTCATGCGCTTACTCAAATAAGAGGAGAGTTTTCTGGGTATCCTGATCAACGCTTCTTCCTTAATACCATCACTAAAGTAAAAAAACATATCATTTGGTTATTGTCTTATTGTGGAATATTATTGGCACAGTGCAAATGCCAGATATCCCTCTACATTTTAAATATAATTCATTGTGGGGAGTGTTTTTGAGATATTTTGCTCCAAAACATTAATTTATGTTGGGCTGTAATGAGGAAAAATTAGGTGATTTAATGTAAGTTACTTAAGGACACTAATACCAGAGCTGTATAAAAGTAGTTAATACTGAAATTCTTGTTTCTCTTCTGTAGGAATTGGTTCTATTGGTTTAGCTGCTGCTTACTATAGTACAGGTAGGAACATTCAGAGTGCAATTGTTCCGCATCCTTCTGATTGCTGTAGCTCCTTTTACTGATTTTTAAAAAATGTGTGTAAATTGCAAATTGTTGAAATATCTCTAAACAAAAGTAACCTGGAAAGATTAGGTCAATGCACATATGTACTAGTTCGAATTCACACAATTAAAGCCATAAGCTTAGGCAAAATAGACAAAGATGTAGAAATATGAAAAAATGAGTAAGGAGTCTAAAGCAGGAAGGAATCTGATGCTTTACAAAGAAAGCATTTCAAAATATTGGATTCAGGAATGAAGGAAGTGAACAATGGAATTCTAATGAGTTAATATGAAAACTTCTTTGGCTTTGGTGAGCAAGACCTAATTTGATTTTTCTTCCACTAATTTAAATGCAGGAAAATCTTGAAAGTTCTTTTCAAGTAAGCATTCTGACTTACCTGCTTTTCTGATATATCTTGTGCCTAAATTGTCTAATGTACTCAGTCACATGTCCAGGATGATCTCAACTCACTTGTATTCTCAAATTTGCAGTTTATTATAATCACAAAAACGATAAACTGCATACATGTGGTGTCAAAATATTGCCAGTGGGACAAATCAATTGATCACTGCTTGGGAAGATGCAGTTTTTTGAAACTTATTTTCTCTCCTGCCACCTCTAGTTTAAGAATTATGAAGCAATGAAAGGGCTAAATTGTCCGTCTCTGAATAGCTTTAAAAAATGAGTCTGCTGGGTTTATAAATAATAACAATATATATTTGCAGCCGAGCATGAAGATAGTTTACAGTTGTCAAAATTAGCCATAATGGTCAGTGTACCAGTAGTGCAGAAGTTTCTGATACTGATTTAATTTTCAAGTGAGGTGGACTAGAGATAAGAAACTTTCTACAGAGAGAAAGCAGGAAGTAAAAAAATGATGGTGACTCTCTCTGGACTAATATTGGACCCTCCAAATGATGGCTGAACAGTATAAACGGGACCAGGACTCCTGCAAAGAATATTGGCCTAAATCAGATAGAATTATTTAAAGAATGAACGCAGATCTGCACCTAGACATGAGGTTTTATGAATTTAAATATATTAGTATGAGTTGCAGCTGGTGTACCAATTGTGAAATCAAGGCGATAAGGGTGCTATGACTGAACTTTTGACTGAATTGTTATTATAAGTGAAGGGTAGTTATGAGTGAATTAATAAAAGTTGTGTACTTATTGTTTTCAGACAATTGGGGATGGAAGTTGTTCTATGTTGTGGGCTGTTTATTTGTGGCTGTACAAAACTTGGAAGACTGGGAGGTAGGAAAGTAGCTACATACTTAAAATTTGCTTTTGGTAGTAATGATATTACAACGGCATGAATCCATGTTTATAAATGATTTATTTGGCTACTTTGTGGATTTGTGAATTATAGAATGTTATCAAGTATTTAGTATTCATTTTGAAAATGTTTCAAGAAATGCTGCACCGTAGAAGTCCAACACGGTGTCAACATCACTTCCCAACTTTTGAGGTGTCCATCAAACTTGTTCCTGCTTCCTCAAGTTGTGCGCCTCGCTGATAGCTACTGTGCTGGCAGTCAGTCCCATTGGGTTCAAATGCATTGAACTATTCCAAGTTATTATTTGTGAATAGTTATTGGAAAATCTTAACTCCTCCATCTCTTTAACCAGTGTATAGGGGTGTATCGCTGTATTGCTGGCGTAGTAATCCAGACATCCAGATTAAAATTCCACACAGTAGGAGTTTGAATTCTACACAGCTTGAAAAACTGAATTCAATTTAAACACCGTTCGATGTTGTGGGAGATAAAAAGTGGTTTACTAATTTTCTTCACGGAAGGCATCCTGTCCTAATCCAGTCTGACCTGTATGTAATTACAATCCTAGAAAAACATAATTCTCTTGTAATTGTGTTCTGAAGTGACCTAGCCAGTCTTAGTTCAGAAGCCCATCTTCTCAGTAGCCAGGGATGGAGGAACAATACTGACCTTGTGAGCAATCCCCAAATGCTGAAAACTGTCAGAAAGTCTCAGGATGTATTACAGAAGAGAAACTCCCCTGGCCAGAATCTTTATCTGGAACAATCCGTAAATTCAAAAGCTTGGAGTGCTGTGTGGATTTAACTTTTTGTTAGCTGAATTAAAAAGTGGCGTGGTGTCTCAGTGGGTAGCATTGCTGCCTCACAGTGCCAGGGATCCGAGTTCGATTCTACCCTCAGGCAACTGTCTGTATGGAGTTTGCACATTCTCCCCATGTCTGCATGAGTTTCCTCCCACAGTCCAAGGATGTGAAAGGTTAGGTGGATTGCCATTGTTAAAATTGCCCATTGTGTCCAGGGATGTGCCATGGGAAATGCAGGGTTACAGGGATTCGATAGCAGTGGTACATCTCGCTGAGATGCTCTTCAGAGGGTTGGCGTGCACTCGATGGGACAAATGGCCTGCTTCCACACGGTAAGGATTCTGTGAATTTCACAGGAGGAAAATGTTCATTTCAGGATTGGTGACATATTCATAAGGCCAAACAACCCTAATGTGATTTCAAGTCTAAGCCTTTGTGAGTCTGCCTCCTTGAGTAATGTTGGCCAACATTTAACTTCTACCAGCCCTCAACTGGGTTTCTGTCTGCCAACTTAACATTTAGGAGTAGATGGTAGATGTTGAAATGCTACTTTCATATTGATAAGAAACAAACAAGTAAACATGAAAAGCATGAATGCTTTTACAATTCCTGATTATGTATTCTAATATTGCATTAAAATAACCCACAAAGCTCAAAGAAAATTAAACTCTGGGCATAGCATTATAAACTTTGATTTATGAAATGAGAATTACAGATTATCATGTTGTGGAACACTTATACATTGTTAGGAATTAGGACTGTAATCTGAAGCGTTATATATTTTCAGTCATTGAAAGGTAGTTTTTCTGTTTTTCAGGAAGTCATATTTGACAAGAATAAAGGGAATGCAGTTCTTAAAAGTTTTAACCTTTATACAAGGATATTGACCATGTGGAATAAAAGTCAAGAACAAGGTGAAGTGTAAATTTGTATTTCGTCCATCACAAAAACATTCAGGTTGACTTGGGGCCATAGTGAGCATGATGGTAGAAAGCTTAAACCAAAGCATACTGTCTGGGATGGATAATTATTTACTTTTCTACCAATTATAAATTAATTTTAATTCCTCCTACATTGCCACCATCACATGGTTTTGCTGAGATCAACAAATCAACATTTTCAAACTCAACCATAGCTCAGATTAGGAATAAGGTTAAAGCAAAGATTTGGCCTTTAATGAAAAGGCTAGCTTCTTAACATGAAACTTCACATGCAGATGATAATATCACTGCAACATAGAGAGGTGGACACTTGATAGTACCGAGCATGAATATTGCTGAAAAGGTAGACGTTGCTGAAATTTGTTATCATGTACTTTCAGGATAAATTTAAGAATGCCAAATTTCAAATGGTGACAACAATTTATGCTACAGGAGTAAAGGGTGATGATTGATTGGCAAGTTGACACAGATTTGTTGAGGTATTCCAATGGGAAAGAAATGAGGGGCGATAGGCTCACCAAGCTTGCGTGTAATTTGAAAAAGGTGCAGACATGAAAATATTCTTTTTGCGGCAGAGAACAGGTCCCTGTGTATGGATTCATGTTGCCTCTGAAAAGTGTAAATGTTTGACAACATTAGCTTGACAGATTATTTTATATTCGGTGTCAGTGTAGCTGTTAACACACTCGGGATTGCTCAGCAAGTGCTACCTGATCACAGAATCATATCTAACAATAAGGCAGTCCTGGGGTTGTGAACAGGTTCCATTCTGGAGTTTGTTTGCAAGTCAATTTGCACGCATGTCAGACCACAATGCAGGACAATATACAGGTGCTATTTGTAAGTGCAGGAAATGTTCACACGTCTGATCTTTAAAATCACACCCCTGTATGAGATCATGTTCATAATTATGAGCGTTCATAAATTGGAGGCTCATAAATTGGAACCCCCCCCTTAATGTTTTGTTTTGGACTTTGCCAAGCTGGGTGGTTGAGTATGGTCTGTGTACTACCTTCATAAAAAAACGAAAAAGCATGCCATTTTCATTAAATCAACCAGTCATTAGGAAGTACAGCCTACATGCTGGCTTCGCACTGGCACTGAACCTTCCGTACATGACATCATTCCATTTTGTGGTAGGCAGAACATCTTTTGGATTGTTAGCTTCCTGTTAGTGGAAAATCCCCCTGCTATACCTGTTGCATAGTGACATTGTGAAATGGCTTCCCTAACCCTTTGTTCACATTTTTGAGGTACTTTGCCTTTCCAGTGTAAACTTAGCCACATTATGCATTTTCCAGGTCTGTAAGTGGCAGTCTTTGGTCCGTTCGAGAGTTTGTGTAAGACACAAAGAGAGACAGTACCAATGTGATTGGACTAGTAATCTAAAACCCTAAGCTATAGTGTTTTGGGGACATTGGTTCAAATTCATCATGGTGGATGGTGAAATTTGAATTCAACAAAAATCTTGAATTAAAAAAAACTGGCTTAATGGCAATGAAATACCTACTTGTTGATTATCATAAAGGCCTATCTGTTCACTAATGTCCTGTAGAGAAGGAAATTTGCTGTCCTTACTTGGGCTGGCCTACATGTGACTCCAGACTCAGAGCAATGTGGTTGGCTATTAACTGCCCTCCGAAATGACCTTGCAAACCAATAAATTCCATAGCAATTAGTGATCGGCTGGCCTAGCCAATGATAAATTCACCTCATGAATGAATTTAAAAAAAAACTGAATTCTGATTATGTTGGCCACAGTCTTGCAGGATAGCTTTCATATGTTCTATTTTTGCATCGCTGCTTCTACATCTTCAGGTATAGAGTTGTGCTACCACCTCTCTCTTCTTGTAAAATGTGTTCATGCAATGTTGGTTTGATGATCTTGTGTAATACTTGCTTTGCTAGTAGCATTCGAATAACTGTGTGTTCCATTTATAGTGGTGGCACAGCTTCAGCATATTCGTGCCATTACCGTAGAGGAGGAGAGAGTCCGCTATTTGGGAAAAGGATACCTTGTGGTACTGCGGTTTGCGACTGGGTTTTCACACCCAATTACCCAAAGTGCAGTGTTAAGTAATCGAAGGTAAGTAATTAAACTTTTAACTATTGAGATTTGTTTTGCTTTATGTATATCAACCTGATGAACATAGTCCACTGAGACTAATTTAAATATATCTTATGTTTTATAAAATCTGACAAAGTGGAAGTGATACAACTCTATTTGGTTTGGATTCATATTAAAGCAAGGTAAATCAGCACCTGAGGGAGAAAAGAATAGAAGGATATGCTAAGAGAGTTAACTGAAGAGGAGTGGAACAAAAGACCATACACGAGGGTACAGACCAGATGGGTAGTATACTGCCCGACTTATAGTGTCTACGTATCAATAGCATCGATGCTGAAAAATGTCAGCCCGTCTGGCAGCAATTTCGGTTTTTGGTTTCTGATTTGCAACAACCCCAGTTCTTTCGGTTCATATTTTTAACCATTGCTCATTGGTTCTGACTGCAAACTATGACAAAAAATACATCGGCCAACCACTAATAATGGAAATATGAATAAAATACTGTACATGCTGAGATTTGAAATAAAGGCAGAAAGTGCTGAGCAGGCTTGGTAAAGTACATGGAGAGAGAAATGATGTCAGACACGCTGAGCTTTACTAGTCCTTTCTATTTTTATTAATCATGTAATTGCATCATGAAGATACTGTCTTCTCAACCTTGCCTGAGGCACGATGACCCTCAGGTTAAACCACCACCAGTCATCTCTCTAATGACAGCGTGGCCCTATGGTCCTCTGGACTATGATGGCTTTACTTTCATTGAATGTTCAATGAGCTAACAAGTGTAAAATCTGAAGTTTTTACTATGTGGGCTGGGGGTGGGAGCAGAATAAAATTTTGTTTATATATCCAGTTGTTCCCCATTAAATTCCATTGGCATTTTGGCACTGGTTACTTAATAAAAGATTGAAGTCACAACTACAGAAATATAACTGTTTATATCTTTCAATACGCATCATTTCAGAAATGTTTCCAAAAAGTAGTAAGATGTTCTGGTTTCACGATCACTCACATCTTTGTATTATTCTGAAATTGTCAGCCTGGAGCCAAGTGCTTCCCAATTCCATTCATCAGAGGAAAAAGGGGAGAAAATTTAGGTTGTCCTTGTGCCTCATTTATCTGAATGCAGGGCCTGAGAAATCTGGCTGCAAATTGCACATTCTTCCTCTTAAGCAAAACATGAAACTAAGAGGCAAAGATGACACACAAAAATGATTTTACAAGAGGAAAATGAACATAGAATGGTCGGGTAATGGAAGAAAAGCAAGCATTTTAGCTCATTCAGTGTTCCAAAGCATTGCCATAAAATTATTTTGAAGAATAGATACTGATACCATGTAAGCTGAAGCAAATTGGAAAGAGTAAAGAATTTACTGCCTTATCAGGTAAATCTCGAATCACGTTTGAAGGATGACCATTAATGACTCCATCTACAACATGTCTGACTTGAAGCTGATGTTATGTAGTGATATGAATTTGAGATTATGCAGGTGTGGAAGACAGGAGGAAAATGGGTTGTGTTGTTTGACAATGTCTGCAATTCTAACTTGCCTCGCTTTTCCTTTCCTTTCACAGTGACGTTGCTGCTGTAGCACAACTTATAACTAACTTTCTAAACCTTAACAAACCATCCCTTGAAGATAAGCTGGGATTGTCTCCAGACAGTAGTGATGGCACTGGCAGTGATAATGAAAAGAACTGAAGATTACTAGCAGGAAACATTTCGCGGACATTAAGCATACAACCAAAAGTAAACACAGGGCTTTTAAAATCTGAACATTTAAGGAACATTAAAGAATCAGCCTTAAACAAACTGGTTGTGAAACTGCACAGGAAGCAATGTCCAGCTCTCAGTTACATGCTGCAATGCCAACTTCTTTGCTGGTGAAATAAGACACTATAATTTTTAGTTTTTGTGTTGCTAATGTAACCCCCACTTGCTTTGGCAGAATGCTACTTTGATCAAATGCACAAAAAAAAGCTTTAAAATACAATAACGAGTTATGTCAGAAATATTGAATGGAGAACCTTTGTTTCAGTTGTGACTGTCCTTACAACTGTCTTCTGTTTATTGTCTTTTTCAATTCACTTTGTGTTTTCTTCTAAAGCAGAATTTATTCAATTGATTTTGCATAAAATGAAAGAATGCAATGAAAAAGTGCAGATTATTTGTATATTTCAGTAAAGCCAAAAACATAGACAAGGAGTCATTAGTGTTTAAAAGCCGAGAGCTTTCGTAGTATATCAAAAAGTGTGTGTTTGGATAAATATGTTTCGTACACAATTGTCTTGAGGTTACTATATTTAAGAGAGATGGACAGACAAGTAAAAGCATGCTTCAATGCTGAACACCCTGTCCAGCTGTAACTAAATTTTGTAAGGGACATAGAGATGTGATGTTGGCAGATTATTCATGGTTTTCTGCTGAAAAGATTAGAGGCTGACAATATTACACTGAGCACCTCATCACCATGGCCTGTGTACCATATACAATTCACAATTCAGGAACATGATAGAACACTCCCTTGATCAGTGCAGTTCCACCAGTGCTCAAAAAGCTTAACAGCATCCAGACAAAGCAGTTTTGTTAATTGGGACCCCATCAACAACATTAAACATTGATTCTCTACACCAATGCAGTAGCAGCAGTGTGTACAACAGGTTCACAGCAGCACCTTCCAAACCTGTGATCTCCACGACCCAGAAGGAAAAGGCCAGCAAACGCATAAGGACACCACCACTTACAAATTCCCTTCAAAGCCCCACATCATCCTGATGTGGATTTATGTATTTGTTCCAGCATGGGCGCTGAATCAATATCCAGGAACTCTCTAAGAGCACGTTGCAAGTGTACCCACACCCTGTGGACTGCAGCAAATGAAGAAGGTGGCTCATTAGTACTTTCAAAGGGTAATTAGGCACAGGCAATAAATGCTGACTTTGTCAGCAATGCCATGTGTCATGAAGAAACAATAAATGAAATGTACTATAAATTACATCTGCTCCTTGGGAAGGGGATGGAGACAGTGAAATCTTGATTTGATAAATCTCAAGTGTCAGTAAAGGCCTAATCTATCCATTTGGCATAGATGTGAGTTATGATCTTGACTATGTACATTAGGTTTCACATTGTATGTATACATTGGTTACATTCACGATGGGAGAGGGGTAAATTAATCTGTATGAATTTGGCAGGTAAGAGTTTGGGTCACGTTTTTCAGGTCATTGGAAACCTGGAGTCTACAAAATGAGGAATGGAGCCAGCTACTCTGAAACTGAATCAGAGATAGTAGGAACTGCAGATGCTGGAGAATCCGAGACAACAAGGTGCAGGGGTGGATGAACACAGCAGGCCAAGCAGCATCATAGGAGCAGAAAGGCTGACGTTTCAGGCCTAGACCCTTGAGTTTGCATGCTGGCAGAACAGCTATATCTCAGTATTCTGGCTTGCTGGGGATGGATGAAAAACCCACTTGATGCTGGGACGCGATTCATTTCCCAAAATTTCAATCAAATATGATTGAATTCATTGAATTGCAAAAGCTGCAATAATAAAAGAAATGTTTCATACTATTTGCCAATGCATGTGAATAATCCTGGCATGGAAAAGAAATGTCTAAAAAGTCACCACAACAAGTTGCATTGTAAAGCACTTGGCTATTTTCACTGTCATTCATTAACCAATGTGTATATCTGTTACTTTTTAATAAAGCTGTCTCAGTAAGGATCCTATCAGACTCAAGTTTATTTATTTGTGGGTGGCTCAGTGGTTAGCAATGCTGCCTCCCAGTGCCAGGGACCTGGGTTCAATTCCAGCCTGGGTGATTGTCTGTGTGGAGTTTGCACATTTTCCCTGTGTTTGCTTGAGTTTCCAACTGGGTACTCCAATTTCTACCGAAGTCCAAAGATGGGCAGGTTAGGTGGACCGGCCATGCTAAATTACCCATATAGTGTCTAGGGATGTGTGGATTAGCGATGGGAAATACAGGGTTACGGGGATAGGGTTATGGGGATAGGGTGCTCTTTGGACTTGATAGACGGAATGGCTTCTTTCCACATGGTAGGGAGTCTGTGATTCTAAAGTTTAGAACAACAAAGTTCTTTTTTTAAAAATGGTACAGTCCGGTGTACGTTCCTGACAAAGGTAGTGTAAATGGTTAAGCAAGTTGCATATTCTCTCTTCATTTTATGATTGCCCTGAGGCTTGCTGGATATAGTTTTGGTTTGCAGGATATAATTTGGAAGCAGTAAGTGGTCGCTACATTTCATTTCATGGAAGCTGCTTCCACACCCACCCATCAATAATCAAACCCTAGGCCACTATTTATCTCACCTCTCTTCTCTTTCCACATCTAACCCTTTCCACACCCAATTCCTGGTCATTCTTCCATCCTCATTCCTCCCTGCTTCTCTTTGTTGGCCAGTCATTCCTCCCCAGCCAATGAACTGAATATGTACTTGGTCTTGACTCCCTGCTTGTTATGTCGTGAAAGACTGATCATTCATTGTTTTAAAAAAAGTACATGAAAGCAAGAACAAAAACAAATTGCTGAAGAAACTCAGCAGGTCTCGCTGCATCTGTGGAGAGAAAAATAGCTAATGTTTCAAGTCGTGATTCTTTGTCAGAATCCACAGTTTTATTTTATTACAGTACAGCAAGATTAAGCTTTATAAAGGTAGGGTCATATTAGATCGAGGCAATGATTCTCATTTAACGAACCAATGCAGACAAAATGGGCTGAATGGCCACCTTCTACACCATAACACTTCTAAGATTAAGCCACGTTATGGCAAATGTGAAGCACTTCATAAAAGGTGAGCTTCAGCAGAGTTTAATATGTGCCTTATACCCTGCATTAATTACTATGCATTTTCTTTATGCTAAGGATTATTCTTTTGCATATGGCCCAAATTCAAATAGCATGGTGGCACAGTGATTAGCACTGTTGCCTCACAGCGCAAGGGACCCCGGTTCAATTCCACCCTCGGGCAACTGTCTGTGTGGAGTTTGCACGTTCTCCCTGTGTCTGTGTGGGTTCCCTCTGGGTGCTCTGGTTTCCTCCCTCAGTCCAAAGATGTGCAGGTTGGGTGGATTGGCCATGTTAAATTGCCCATAGTGTCCAGATAGGTGTAGGTTAGGTAGATAAGTCAGGGGAAATTCAGGGTTAGAGAAATTGGGTCTGGGTGGGTTGCTCTTTGGAGGATCAGTGTGAACTCGACAGGCTAAATGGCCTGCTTCTAAACTGTAGGGATTCCATGTTTAATGGAGACATTTTTTCAAGCTTCACTAGATGATTCCCCAGTTTTAGAAACAAGACCAGTGTGCTTCCATACAAATTAAAGGCAGGGAATTGCCCGTTTCTCACCATCATCACAAGGACTGCATCAGTTCAAGAGCTGGGTCCAGCACCACAGCCTTCTCAAGGCAACAAGTGCAGCCTCTGCAGCATCACCCATTTACTGGTAAATAAATGAACCCTTGCAGGACACAAAAACACAGGTTGGAGATCAAATACCTCAGGTACCAAGGTGTCACATTGCTCTGCACCAATTTGTGGACATATCCAGAGGAGGCCAAATACCATTTCTGTGGCAAAATAATTTCTTATGCCCTTCCCAGCAGCCATTTTCAGAATGAGACGGGTGTTAGATCAAGCCTGTTTCCAAAAGGCTGCAACAAAATGATACAGAATCCTCAAAATACAGAGGTGACGGTGAAAGATGGGAGACAATACAAGTACAAATTGAAAATAATGGAAAAGTTTTTTGACATGCATATAAATAAATAACAATCCATGCATATTACTGTGTGCGTATTTATTCTCCCCAGCTTTCTCCGTTTTGCTTCAATGGGCAAATAAACCACCACACATTGCTATTACCTTAAAAATGATTAATCCTAAGTCATGCCTTGGTATTTTACCTGTCATTTCAATGTAGAAACTTTCTAGATATTACCGAAATTGAATTTTGAACAAAATAATCTGCACCGTAGTAAACAGTCACCTTTCAGATCACAGGAGGAGCTTACATCCATGAAATAGAACTTCATTATCGAGGCATATGATGGAAATATAAGAAAACAATTCAGTTTAATAGTTGATTTCTGATAACTTATATTGGTCCGCAAATTCTGATCAGCTTCAGAAACCCTTTTTATGACAAAAATCAGACTAAAAAATGCACACTTACCTTCTGATGAGCTCTACCCTGGAATTTCCCGTTACGAAAGAGCAGAGAACAATTCAGGGAGCAGGCGTGCAAACCACATCCTTTGCAGCAGTACGTGTTAACTGTCTCTGTATTTAGTCGTTTAAAAGCCCTGCAGCCACTTTGACAGGTAGAAGGAAGTTTGCTTATTATTTTTCATGGGAATGCAGGCTGGCTCAGCCAGCATTTAATGCCCATCCCTTATTGCCCTTGAGCTGAGTGGCTTGCTAGGCTATTTCAGAGGACAGTAAAGAGTCAACCTCATTGCTGAGAGTTTGGAGTCACAGGTAGTCAGACCAAATAAGGACAGCAGATGTCCTTCCTTAAAGAGCATTAGTGAACCAAATTGGGGTTTGGGTGGGGAGGCGGGTTGGCTGGGAGTGGCAGATGCATTAGGTTGTAGATTGCTAGGTCTGTGAGGGTTTAAAAACTGAATGATCTGCGGGATGCTGTAAATCAGAAATAAAAACTGCTGGAAAAGCTCAGTAGATCTGGAATCATCTGTGGACAGAAATCAGAGTTATGTGGTTATCCATTCCTTTGTCCAACTATTCTTCTTTCTCGTTGGGCTCTATCCCCACTTATCGTTTACTCCTTACCTCCTGCCCCAGTACTCTGCATATCATCTGCATATAAACCGACATTTTCCTAGCTACCATCAGTTCTGAGGAAGGGTCATTCGACCCGAAACATTAACTCTGATTTCTCTCCACAGATGCTGCCAGACCTGCTGAGTTTTTCCAGAAGTTTCTGTGAGGGTTTAAGGTGGGTTAGGAGGTTAGAGTGCCAACTGGGTTGGGGATAGGGCAGCATTGGGGTTAGATTGGCAGTGGGTATGGGGTAGAGTTCCAGGTGGCAGGTGAATAAGGGGTTAGGATGGCATGTAGGTAAGGGGTTATGGTGGATGTTGTGTGAGGGTGACAGTAAAGTGGGTGTGGGATTCAGGCACATTCAGAGTGGGTGAGGTGTCGAGTCGAGAAGGTATTGTCTGGATGAGTGGGGCACATGTTGCATTGAGTGCGACCAGGGTATCGTGAGTGGTATTGTTTTAGGGGTGGGTGTCCAGCGAGATCTGGTCAGGGCTGGAGGTGTCAGACCTAGGAGTATCCGGGTTGGGAGTGTAGTTGGGGTTCACTGGTGAGTTAGGGGTGAAGTTTATTAGACATCAAGGAGTTTGAGTAAGCTGTTTAATCCTCTAACATTTCCAGAGTAACTATTTGGCGTAAGTGAGTTGGAAGCCTCTGAAATCTCTGACTCTAAGGGACTTTCTTGGAGAGTGCCAGACACAGTGGGTGCCGCAAGGAAATTTCATTTCCTCAGGCACTTATGTCAGAGTCAGCTGCATCAGGATTTCCACAAAATCCCTGTACACAGCTCGAGTCTACCCTGTGGAAAAGACTCTATGACCATTCAAACCATTCTGGCCTATTTTGACCTATCTACACTAAATGTTCAGTAAGACAAGTAAATTTAAAAAAATGATTGCATAGATGCTTTTAATTATGTGTTAAATCAGTACAATGTCTACATCAACATTTTTATGACAGTTTTTACTGCTGCTAGCTAGTTTCTGTTCCTGTATTTCACAGTTATACTTCAAAGAATTAATCCATTTCTAAATAAGCCAAAGTAACCAATTCTCTTCAATGATCTAGAATAGTTTATAAACTTAACTATTAGTGACATGGCTTTACACTATTCAAAACAAAACAGGCAAAATAATTGAAATTTTTAGGAATAAGTATCGACTGAGGTCAGTTATGGTGTTATGATATGGCACGCTGACTTACATAGCCAAATGATCTTTTGCTGTTCTTACTAATGTTCTTCTGAGATTACCAAATTGCCCATTGCTCACAATAGTCTGTGCTGCTACGGCAAGGCATTGCTGTTTGAGGAGTGAGTTGTGGTGTACAGCTTCAATTAGTATTAAAGCTTCAACGCAGGACTCTCCACCTCAAGAGAGACGAAGTAGCTAGGATGGATTGTAAACAATATGGATGCAGTGGGTTTTAAGAACTAAATATTTTGTTCTCATTTCATGCAAAATCTGTTGCTCTTGTTAGTTACCACACAGTTGGCTTCACCTTGGATGATGCTAATTATAAATCAAAGGAGGTCAAGCATTCAAATTAAAGACTTGAATGTGACAATCTCTAAAAGTCAATAAATGTAATGACATTTTTTATTTCAAATGCTCTGATGCCAAAGCTTCATCCATGTCTTTCACAAACAGTTGCAACTTTGTCAAGGTTGGATGGACATGTTCTTCTAGCCACTCCTCCACAGTATTTGGATAATAGATTTTCTCCAGCGCTGCACTCAGCTCACCTACACCAGCCTTCCAGTGAGCATGGACCCTAGAAGGGGGTCATTAGCCAATATTAGCCATCACAGCAATCACTTCTATCAGACAACTGTCGTGTTGCACTTTCAGCTCAGCACTCACGGCCCAGTAATTAGAATTTCAAGATGTTTGACAATTATGTAAAATTTTCACACTTAATGCACACATAC